ATTCGCGTTTTATATGTACTGGTTAGTGGTTACTATCAAAGGTTGGACGAAGTTTCCCGCTTGAAAAAATTAGAATAGCCCTCGGCCTATCATTTCTCACCAGAGAAGAATTTTTAGTTTTTACTTTGGATTGTTCGTTGTATGTAGTCAGACATTGTGATTAATGAGAACTAATGTGATGAGAATTTTGTTTTTAGTTTAGATTGCTCGTTAGACATAAGGAGTAGTGAGAATCAATGTGACGTGGCTAAAGAATTTTGTTTTTAGTTTGCATCTTGAGAATTTAGTTTTAGTTTGGATTGTTGGTCATATGTAATAGACATAGTGGCTAGTGAGAACCGATGTGATGTAAATGATTTCCAGCGTGTTAGAGCCGAGGTCGTTTCGAAACCAAACATCCTCCTTATATATTAATTCAGAACGCGCTGAGTCTATGTGGCAGGCTCGCATGCTTCGGAATTCTATGTGGCAAAATTACATGCTTCGTTGTTAGGTTTGGATTATCTATAAATATGTTGATTATTTATTATAGGGGCGCGGTCTGGGACGGTCCTGGATTTGACTTGTCCGGATACTGATCCCACTTTTATGAATCAATTATGAACGGTTCGGAATGAGGCACTGTCCCCACCCATGTAATACATGGGTGTTGTACTAGTACAAATTGATTTGGAGAAACGTGATTATTGGCTAGACACTGCAGATTTCACCTGAGAGTTCACCGAGAAAGGAAGATTCAATCCAACAACATAGATAAAAGTTGAGTAGGAAAATATGAGAATGTTCATTGTATCACTGACAGTTAAGTCGAGCTCAATGATCGAATGGTTTGAGAGCGAGAGTTCAAGATGCCAACATCGATATAAATACAATTGAATGAGAGGGGTAACGTAACCATACTAAATGAAAGAGTACGCAATCTGAGTGAGTTTGTACTTTTTAAAGCTGAATAAAAACATTAATAGTAGTTTGTACGAAAGTTAATCCAGCTATATTTTATTTTCTAGCGTTTCTCCTTCAGTTTTTTAATGTTGCCTATTAATCTGCCTAAAATATTTTAAATTCAATTATGTTTGGGGACTTTTCTAACATTTTTTCATCTCGTATCAATATATAAAAATTTCATACACATTCTCAAAACTCATCCCTAACATTTAAATAAAATAAAATAAAACATGTATCAAATCTTGAAACACAAATGAGATATAAATCTTGAATCACAAACGTTTTCTCAACAAGCAAGACGCCAAACCAAAAAACAAGAAACCCAACTCTAGGAAACGCAAAAGAAACAACACCAATAAAAGATCCCATATAATCTTCCAAGTTCTAAGCAGACAGAGATCTCAACTTCACCAAAATTATTAAGGTAGAGACAAAGATCTAATTCATCCTCCTGATGAGCTCGTTTATGTAGTCTTCACGATTTCCAGCATCTCCTCCTTCGACATAGTGATTTCTCTTCTTCTTCAGACCACCCAAAGGAGCCTTCAGTTGGAAGGGCCAAAGGAAGTTGTTCGCCTCCTTAAAATGCGGCCCCACAGTCAAGATCTCGTGAATAAGATCCTCCACGCAGATGATTCCATGTTTGCCAAGTGTCTGCAAAAGAAGTTCAAGTTATGGTAAAAAAGAGAGGGTAAAAAAAATGAAATCAAATAAAGAATATGAAAAGGGAAATTCACTGCAAGCCTACAAAGTCGACAAACCTGTTCAATGATTGAGTTATCGGTAAGAGCAATCCGCTGCTTGTTGACCTTGCCATAGCCTCTCTTGTAGATCAATTCCTTCACACTCTTCAAGTTGGGGTACCTGAGAGCAATAACATTCTTAGCATATAAACTTGGCAGGTAATATTAGCTGGAAAATACTCGAGCGGCCATGACATTGAGAGATGCATGCATACCCATAGGTCACGTAGGGCTCAACCCTGTGCAGCATATTCACTGTTGCCTTGTTAACTTTTAAGAACACGCCGTTGAAAATCTGCATTTGAATGATAATATATATGAATTCAGATTACTTATAGGAACATGGAATATAAACTTCATGAATTATGACTGTAGCAACGATTTGTAAATAACAAAATAGAGAATGTGGTATAACATCTATATGTGCAATAAACCAGTATGTTGAGACATATTTTGTTTCATCAGGGATGGCAATGAAGACATTCGAGCATGAAAATTTTGATTATATATAATTTAAACTAACAAAGCATTTAGCTTATGTCATTATGACAATTGGGTATAAAAGACAATGATAACATCAACATAAGGAAATGTAAGAAAATAACATTAATTCTTACCTGACGAAGGCGCAACAGCTGCAAGATCTTCTTAGTCCTCGGGTGCATGGCATTAATACTGCATCACAATCACAAAACACAAAAATATAAGAACCATACAATATCAATCATCAAATTATCAAATCAAGTCAACTCCAGATAAAATCCAAAGACCTACCCACGAATGCGAATGATGAAAAGCAACTTAGCCTCCGGATTCACATAAAACCCTCCCTTCAGCCTCGCCTCACGCTTGAGTTGAATCAGCTCCTTCTCCTAAAGACAGAAAATCCAAACAACATGTAACAACCGATGTACAATTAACACGACA